ACACATAAATCAAACTGAATGCAAGTCATAAAGTGCATGCTTGGGCTGGATTATGAAACTTCTATGCGATTGTCTCGAGGAGAACTTGGAAAGAAAGAATGATCCTGTTAATATCTTGTTCAAGGAAAAAAAAAGCAAAAATAATCATAATACCTAACCTTGCATAGTCTAAAATTATACCAGAAACAAAGTATAATATTAACAACCCCAAAGAAACAAAGAAGAATTCATTAATTATGGTATTTCTTGTTTTTGATGCTGAAATGTGAAAGGAATAAATTGACAAAAGAGTGTCAAAGACCATTGTGGTAATGGGTAATTATGGGGGTGAAGGGAGAGGAATACCAAATACAAACATCTCACAAAAGTCTTGGAAAAGATACCAAAGAATCATACCTTTTTGTTGATTCTTTGCATCTCCTATAGCCATGCAGAAGTTGTTTTGCCAATAGTCAACAAGAAAAAAGCAACAAAATCTGTTACTCGACCTTTTCAAGTCATTTGGTACAACATACTACCCAGACCTCAAACTGGACTATATGGGGAGTGTGAACAGACTCCATGTTCTCTACAACCAATAATAATATACTGCATCAATAATGTTAAGAAGAATAGATAAATACTTCACCGGAGGATCCAGATATCCTCTCACTATGTCTATGAGATTGACTATCAAAAGGAACAGCAAAGCTCAAAATAACTCAAATATTACTGTTGTGTTTCGGTACTTGGGGACTCTTGAGTTGGCCGGCTTTTGATTTGGTAAACCTGCTTGACTTGCTTGTCGTACGCGGGCCCTTTTGAAGTTTCTTGATACTTTGAGTGCATTGCTGTAGCTCCTCTTGCAGGTTTGTTAATCCACTGCAGAGGAGGTGAAGGAAGAGGACCCACATTTTGTGTAAATGGAGGTGGTGGGCAGACGTTAGATAGTTGTCCAGAATTTGGCATTCTTGCTGCATTTGAAGGAGGTCTCGTTCTTGCACCACTTCCGATTGTCAACACTGACATTTCATTTCTCATGCTATGATACTGATCTTGATATGAATGTCTATCTTGAATCCTGAAATTTTGCCTAGTGTTTTGGAACTCATAAGGGGATGGAGCATATCTGGGGTTCCCAGATGCACCACGAGGCATAAGGTTGCTAGGGAAATAAGAAGGGTCTTCAAAGAAGCCACTTGCATGTCCAGAGGGTCCAGGAAACCGTGGCCGGTGATTCGGAGACGAATTCCTACGACTCATTTGATCATAGAATCCACCTTCATAGCAAGATGGTCCAGCTGGCCTTGGCCTATTCAAAACATGGTTGCCCGAAAAATTTCGGGAAAATGATTGATCCAACACTCCAAAATTTGTTCCACCAGGTTTGATATTCAATGTGTTCTTAAGCAACCGATGTGCTGCTTCTCCCAGTGAAGGCCCTGCTATTGCCCCGGGTACAGAACCCCTACATAAAACACAAGATAGGCCATTCATATCATCAGTTGATTATTTGTATGAAGAAAGTACATTTCCCAACATTACTTGCAAGACAGTTTCTGTTGTTACTTGTTGTAATAAACATAGTGAAAAGCAAAGACATCCAAATACCAGAAGACACGGAAAAGGAGGTGAGGTTTTACCTATCTTTGCCTAGATGGCGCCGGGTTCCATGATCTTCATGCCATAATACAGGAAAAGGTTTTATATCAACAGCTCTCAACATCTGCAGCCCAAAGTTAAAAAAAGCTGCATTCACAATCTAATATTACATTAAAAGCAGGAACCCAATACTAAAATAAATTACCTATATTCGCTTATTATTTATCTAAACACCTCTATTTTAAAACCTACAAATCGATACATGTCTATTTTCCTCTTCTGAATAGTTGTCACTGTTTAGTTGCACCATCTTTATAAATTGAAACTAACACAAGTTCATTTGGAATCGCACCAGAAAAATAAAAATAAAACTGGAACAAGAATATCAATGGACATTTCAATAGGTATCACTTTGGTCTGCATATGACACTCTCTCACACTTCAATCTTCTTCTTCTTTTTTCTGGTCCAGCTTCAATTTTCTTTATTAACACTTCATCTGATCTGAAATATTACTTCTCTTTCACCAAACTATTTTCCTTTTTTCTAGGCTATTTTCTAAATCTTTTGCAGACATGACAGCTTCTTTGCCAACTGGAGGAAGTTATATATAAACTATTTTTGAAACCCTTCTGGTAAAGCTTGTCTGCTCAATGAAGAGAGATGGAAACTATCAATATTCCGAGTCAAGAAGAGAAGGCCTAGCAACATGGTCTATGAACCACCATGCATTCCCAACATTATTACCTACTTCTGTTTTTTTAGATATTAAATTTCCATGTCAAATGCTCTCATTATATTAGAAGGCCAGATTACACCCTCTTCCTTCCTTGTATTTTACAAAATTCAATGTAGTAACCAAATTAAGACTTGGATTTAAACAAAAACGGCAAAATACCTTTACCACTGACATAGATAACTTCAACCGTTTATTGAAGAATCAAATGAATATATTTGTTACAATTTGAGGGGAGAGTGAGTTTAATTTCGACTTGACAACATTTAGTCTTATAAAAATAAATTGTCTTTCTTAAGCATATAAATTTTCAATAATTCATTTCTGGACAATTTTATGCATACTTTTATCAATTCTTATTTAATTATTGTATGACACTGAATTGTTCACAGAATAAACTATTTTTTTCATATTTCTTTTCCAATATTGATGAAGTATAGGGACTAATATTCTGCACAAGCTATCAAAATTCACAAAGAAAAAAAGAAGATGAGAGGAACAAAAAAAGAAACAAATGCAAAGTGAAGGAGAAGTTGGAGTTATACTGTTGTCATCATTGTGTCAGTTCCTTTTTTTCCTCGTATTAAGCCTTTTTTTTCATAAACATCAGCACTCCTAATAATGTGACATACACATGTTAAAGCTTTAAAAGCATCTTTTAACATTTGAAAAATATATAACTTTAACCAACAAAGAAAAAAAGTTGCAGTTGTTAATTACAAATATGTATATTACTTATCTATTTCAAATATTTTTGTTTGGACAATGAGGCAGGAGTTTGAAAAATAAATGCTTGGAGTTAAAGTTGAATAGAAGATGAAATTGTGTTTGACATGAACTTTTCTTTGAGAAAAAATTAAATTTCTCTCGAGTAAAATATTACTTCATTTGAGATACTCAAACAAGATTTTTCAGCTTAAAAGATTCCATTTAAAAGTGTAATTGAAATACTAAACAAATTTATAAGTAAACATTGATTTGTAAATAATGCGAGTCTAAATGTCTTTAAAACTCAAAGCAAAAATTTAAGTATGCATATGACAAAATACAACATTTTGCAGTACAAATTTTATAATAATGACATCAAGATAAATGTGCAGAGAGAAGCAGCAATGCAGCCTGTTCAACCAGGCACTGGACCTCTAATGGCAAAAGATGTGTGTCAAAATACATGAAAAAACAAACAGCCGATTAACTCATTTGAAGAAATATTCTAATGAAATAAACTCAAGCATCTACACTAGGAAAAGCCCAAAGAGTAGGCTTGTCTTTAATGTAAAGAAGTGGAGGGCATATGCTACTCAATAGCAGGAAACACCACCTAAATAACAACACTTACTAGATCAATTTGGAAGTAGAACCCATTGACTAAGATACACGATAATTCTTGTAAAGAAACTGAAAAACTAATTACAGCACATACTCCTGTTAGATTATATATCTGTCATGAAATTAATGGTTAAGCAGTTTTATGATTTGCTTATTATTGTTTAAGAATGCTCACAATTGTACAACAGAAACTAAGCAAATCATGGATCCTTCACAAACCTTTTTGGGCATAAATACTCCTTCTGGAGGCTGCGTAATGTGCTTATGAGGTGCTGGATTCAGAAAGGTAATATTTCTGGCATAAAAGAAAAAAGAAGGTAAAAGAGGTACTTCCTCAAACAACTGAAATATTGAACATGTCAGTCACAATTCGAAAGAATTGCCACAAAGGTACTCACAGAATCTTATTATTTAAGATGTCTTCCAATCCATTAAGTGGGGAAGGAACCCTATCTCTCAGGCCATTCCTCTCAGATAGCCAAATGAATCCGTTCATTCCACCGCTGTTGAAAAGGGAAAAAAGGAGAGCTTGAGGAACTAGCAAACAATTGGCATAAAAAAAGGTTGAAAACTTCAGCAGTAGACCAGATTACCAACCTCAAATTTGCATCAATTATCCATGGCCTTTGGGCCCTGGAGGGAATCATAACATTGTGATGATAGTACGAAATGATATATGGGGCCAAAGTATGGTGATGATGAACATAGAGCAAATCGAACATTACACTGTTCCTTAGTTGCTCCGTGTCCTGTAAAATAACAAAATGATAATGACAAAGAACAACTCTAATATGCATTAGAAATTACACACCTTCCTACATTTACCACAGTTAAGCTCTGGGAAAACAAAAGGGATCAATGGATACTCATGACCACACTAAACTCCCATGAGAAATCCTCTTAATGTGTGATATCATTGTTTGCTTATGGACAACAAAGGAAGGTAAAAACAAATTGTTTTAAGGACTAATACGTTGAAAAATAACAATGCACATCCATGTTTAACTACAACCATTGCAGCTTTAAGCAGCTAGCTAGTTAGGTTAAAATAGTGCAATATATAAAAATACTATGATCTGTGATTTCTAGCGCCACACAAATGGAGACAATCAAAGATAGTTGTTAGAATAGGAATAAGTATATCTTACTTAAAATAGGAATTAGAATAGGAATTCTAGTTGGAAAAGGTTTTCAATGTAGTGTCTATAAATAGGGTCTTCATGTAACAATTTAGATGTGCAATTCAATAATATTTTCTCCAATATTTTTCACATGGTATCAGAGCAATTCTGAGAAATTTTTTTTTTTTAAAAAATAATATTTTCCGATAACCTAGTTGTTGTCCGGATAATTATTATTTTCCGTCACTATTTCCAAAAAATGGACAGCACCACTAGCTGCGGAATTTCCCGGCGAGCAAAGCCCAGTCATCCCCACCGGAAACCAGTGCTACACGTGCTGTCACGCGCTGTCGGTAGGATTTTCGCCGGCGAACTGTCAGACCCACGCTCTAGCGCGTGACTTTAACTGGCCAGTTTTTTGAACAATTGTTTTCTATTTGAGTCGCCTCTTCATTCCGAGGCCGACTATGTAAATTTTTTTTCTAATTCCAACCAGATTCGAACGCCGGAATCAGGGTTCCGGCTATTTTCAGGCTGTTTCCGACAATATTTTTTCGAAGTTTGAATATTCCGATGATCAAATCTCAATAATCAAGATTTTTTTGTTGTTCCTGAGACAAATTTAACATAATGTCTTTTGAATGTTTTTGGTTCTAAAAATATAGGGATTGGAAATTCTAGCCCTATAATCACTTCAGAACTTCTATTGGGATGTTCAAACTATTTATCTTGGGCTTCGTCAGTTGAATTGTGGTGCAAGGGTCAAG